CGATGAATCCTGTTGTTGCTGCTGCTTCGTACATTGTTTTTCTGTATTCTCATTATTGCTATTATTATTATTATTATTATTAGTATTCACAGAACGATTATTGATGTTAGTTTCCACATTGTTGTGACTCCTTAATCTATTTGCAATCGGAATCTTTTCGTTGTCCACCACAGATGAATCTGCGCTTTGCCTGCTTCTAAGCCAACGAGTCGGTGATGATTCTGTACCTTGAGTCTGTACATTTTTTCCTGCATTTTCATCATTGCACTTGGAAACTTGTTGCTGTTGTTGACTACGAAGACTCCTTATAATCTTCGAGGAAGTATTTCTTTTTTTCTGTTGTTCCACTGGATCCTTGACTATGTCTTCGGTTTGATTGTTTCTAGTAGAATTAAGATCTTTTTCAATACTGTTGTTATTATCTGATGATGATGTACCCACCAGCAATGCTGATTCTTCATTTTTTACCTCTGTCTGGAGAGAATTAGAAATGTAGAAGTAAGTAACAGAACATGCATAAATTTACAATCATTTGAGAAATTAAACCTTTTTTGTTCAAATTTTCAATATTATGATTCACACAAATATTTTACATTGACTTATTATTCATTTATAATAATTTTTCAATAATAAATAAAAAATACATAATAATTTTAATGCAAAAAATGTTTGATATAGTACTGTATTAAAATTATACATTTTGTTAACAAGTAAAAAAAAGAAAAATATTTCGTAAAAGATCACTTATAAATTGTTTAATTATATTTAGGTTTAATTATATTTTATTTAGTTATTTATATGTATTTTATTATTTCATAGAATTTGAATTTATACTAATATATTATGAAACTGATATAACATAGACGAATTAATTATGATAAAAGAGTGATAGAGCAGTAGATAATATAAACAAAGTATAGAGACTTACAGATTCAGTTAATGGTGGAAGATTGTATTGATCACGTAACACCTGTTGGGTGCGCAGACATTCCTCTTGAAAATCACAAACAAATTCAAGTTTACCTAGACACTGAACACAGATCGCTTTGGGAAGAGGATCCTTTTCATCTATCTGATTCACAAACAGAAGTAACATAACAAATTAATAATCAAATTTTAAAAAGTAATATTTAAGATGTAATTACTCCAAAAATTATACTTGTGATGTATTTGAAAAAAATAAATAAATAAAATCTTAAGCCACACATAATTTTTATATTAATTCTTGTCACTTTTACTTTTTCTTTCTATATAAAATATGAATCATAAATATGACTGCTCTGCTCTATAAATGTAACAGTTTATAACATATCATTAAATTCTAGTCCTCACTAAACTTAATGATACTCAATGACAATAAACTTGAAATTGTTAACAAAGTTAAATTGATAATTTTCATATAGTTACAACATTTATTACTCACAATTTTTAAAAAAAGTTCACTATTTTTCTTTCCACAAAAAAATTATTTCTACAAACATAAACATAATTTATACAATAATCTTGCAATGTAATTATATACACTTGTATATTTGAAAATTAATACAAATATTTCTTGTATACTTATTATTTTTCAAGCAGCAATAATTTAATTAAAAATTCTGCAAGAATCTTGTTCATAAAATAATTTACATAAAATATCTGCTATTAGTTATATTAGAATAAGTATAAAAAAAATCTTTTGCTATCTTGAATGAGATTATGACAGGCTAAAAATGAATACTATTAACTATCAATATTTTGGCAAATATCTTTGTACTTTTTCTTAAAACTTAGATATTTTAAGTCTAATTTACAATGTACTCATTCTTTCCTGCCTTTGTTTTCTTGCTTTTTATATATTTGTCACCTGGAGCCGACAAACATCATCATATTACAATTTGTTTCTTTTGATTATCAAAGGAAAACATTATTTCACATAAAAATATTAAAACACAGACCGATAATCGAGTTCTTCTGCTAATACGGCATTCTTGTTGTTACTATTATTGTAAAGATTATGCGCTTATTGTTTTTGCATCATGTCTACTGCAAAATAAAATAAACTAACCTCTTCAACCTAATCTAACCTAAATTGTCAGCGTTGTATTTAACGCGATGTTTCTTGTTTTCCTGTTACCCAGTTTTTTTCGTTTTTTCTGTCGCCTGAGATACAAATTGACGAATTTCAGAAGAGACAAGAAACATGTGAAAAGAAATGCAATTATAAATAAAACAGCGAAAAAGGAGAAAAAAAGACATGAAGTAAAGAACAAGAAAAAGGAAGAAAAGGACCACAATGTAAATTAGGCTTTAAAATTGTGATTAAATAGTTACAGGTTATTGCAATAAATATTATTGATTAAAATTATTTAATTTCTTAATAAAGAAAAAAGTGATAAAGATGAACAAATAAAAGAGACAAGATTAACATTTCAATAGTTATACAAATCTCAATGCTTTATTTTTTAATTATACTAAATGTCAAAAAGATGTTATGTATTCCATTAATTATTTAAAAAATTTTAATTATCTTCAAGTATTTTGAGAAACATTGAAACTTATATAAGCATTGCAAATAGCCACTAATTAGTTAAGAAAATAAGATTTGTATTTTAAACTAAAAAGTTTCGATATTTCTGACTTTGAAAAAAATGTTCCTTGCATTAATAAAATATAAAGCAATATGTAAACTATACAAAGAAATGTTGCATACAAATATACACGCTATTTTGAAAAAAAAATTATAGTAGAAAAGAAAAAAAAACATTTTCTTTGTATCATTTTTTTTCTAACATACTCTTAGTTAGAAAAGAGAATACTTATCAAGATTGTGTGTGTGTGTGTGTGTTGTGTGTGTGTTGTGTGTGTGTGTGTGAAAAATATATAACTCACCAAGATATTAATTTTCCTGTGAATCTTGAGACCAAGGTAACGTTTGATACCTTCCTCGCCAAAAACATCGATGTAAATTTTCTCGTACTGGCCGCAAAGCCTGCACATTTTCGCCTCCCCCTCTTCCACCACATCCATTCTTATGTATTCGTCTCAGTGCTTGCTTACATACACGTTTTACTACCGCAAGGTGGGAATCGAAGGAAATCCACGCTTGTCGTTTCGTATCGCATAAGCAACGCTTTTTCCTCTACCTTTACTTTTACGAATTTGCTTGTTTTTTTTTGTTTTTGAAAGAACGCAACAAAATAAATGTTCTTATCGTTCGTGACGCCAGAATGTGAACCGATTACTATGAAGAAGGGGCGAAAATGGAGACAACTACACTGGCGTTACTACTTGCTATGACAATTCAACACAAGAGATTCTTATGGATTCTCGGAGAGTAATCACATTTGAGCCAGACTTCAGTCACGTCCACAAACTTTTAAATACTAACCAGACATTCAGTTTTTGATACCGCCGTTTGTGGCGCTCTCACTGTATGACTATTGGCTCCTGGGGTTCGATTATGTATCTCGAAATGAGAGTAAAAATTACAAAAGTGGGCTTTAATTGGTCAAAATAAATAGTGAATTTGCTCACTTTTGTAATTTTCATCCTTATTTCAAGATATACAACCGACTTCCTACACACTAGAATTTCAATTTATAAGAAAAGCGCGACTGGTGTTAAGTGTTCTGATTGGTCATTGCTATCACGTGTATAACAAAACACAGCCAATTGACGAATTATTTCTATGTACTTAGAAAATTATCTAACCGCATTTCACTTATAAAGACTCACGTAAAATGCGATTAGATATACTCTAACATCGTAAAACGAGAAGCACAGACTCTTGCATAACGCGTAAAACATGAAGCAGAAGAAAATTAATCAATTAGAGTGCTTTATTTCATGGAATGGAAGAAAATAAAGAACTTTGTTTGGTTTATTTTCTTATGTATTATGTTATGCGTTATGCAAGAATTTGTGCTCCCCGTTTAAGAGTATATCCACACAAATTTGCATAGCCACATAAACGTATGCATAAAGAAAATTATCCAATCACATTTTACGTGCGTCTTTATAAGAGAAATGCAATTAGATAATTTTCTTTATGTTTATACGGCTATACAAGTTTATGTGGATATACCCTAATCGACAACTTGTAGTGTAATTACGGCTTACAAAATAATGTACTAAATTGGCACAATGTGCATTAAAGTGATTAACTAAAAAAATGATTAAATTAAAAAAGCAGTTAACCTACTTACCGAGCAAATAAATATGATTGGTAGTTACTTATAGGCCGGTATTCATAGTCAAGTCTTATTTCAAGATCGTTTTAAGTAATGTCTTAAAACACTAATGCAGCTTTCTGATTGGTTCGTGACTTCTTAAGACCGTACTTAAGGCGGTCTTGAATATAAGATCTGACTGTAGTTGCGTTTCAGCAGAGAAAGCAGCTTTGCAACTGTGTAAAATTTTTCAATATGATTGATCTTGCCCTTATTTCCTCATTGAGTCTAAATGTATAAACCAATTATATTCAAGAATTTTACAACAGTTGCAAAGCTGCTTTCTTTGCTGAACGCAGCTTATGAATACCGGCCATAAATTTTTTTTTAGGTTATTGACTCTCGCTTCCGAAAATAGTAGGGGGTCGATTCTGTATCTTCAATCAAGGTAAAAATTACGTGAGCAAATTTACTAAGTGTTGACCAATAAAATTATCAATATTCTAATAAATTCGCTCACTTTTATAATTTTCACCTCGTTCAAAATACAAAATCGATTCCTAGGAGGCCAACTTACAAATCCAACCAATCACAATTAATCGCTCGGCGAGCAGCTTTGTCCAGTTTAAACGCGCCTAATTGCACGATGTAAACTAGGTCATTACTCGTTCGCCAATCACATTTGTCGACACAGCGCCAGCGCACCAATCGCTCTCTTCCGCTGGTTAGACGTCACCACAATGCCGGCGAATCGCGCGCTTTTGCGGCCAATCCCACGCTTACTTTAGGAACGCACTGACCACGCGCAACCCCACCCATCGCGCCGTGACAAATGCAACTTTTACTTCCGGCTGCGTACACGGCCATCGCGCTTGGCTTTCATCGAATCCGTTTGTGCTCTGGTGGTGTTCACGCAACATTCAAGTGCTGATCTTAGCAACATCTCTCCACGTTCCTGCTCCTACGACTGTCATCTGCGCTCCGCAGTTCTATATCATCCGAGGGATCTCTTTTGTTTGTCGTATGTCCATCCAGAATCTCAACACATTCGGTGAGTGAAACGAAAAAAAAACGCGCATTGTCGCACCCTCTTCTGCCTTTCCCTCCTCTCTTCTGTCCCTTGTCTGTATCTTCCTATTCTTTCTTTTTTCATCGTTGCCTCTCCTCGTATACGTTGTTCTTTACGAACGAGGGCGATAAAACGCGAACACCCGGACACCATCGCTTTTGGGTCCCCCCTCAAGTCGAGCAAAATGGCGACGGGGTTGCTCTCGCCGTTCGCTCGCGCGCGCTCTCGACCCTCTTTGCTTTGCATCATCCTACGCAATCCCACTTATCCCGCGCTGGGAGCGTCCCACACGTCGCGCGATCCGATCTCTCTTTCTCTCATCTATGCCCTCCTTCTGTCTCTGTGTTCGCAGACCCCTTTGCAGATGCAATCAAGGGTTCAGACGATGACGTACAGGACGGCCTCGTTCATATAAGGATCCAGCAGCGGAATGGTCGCAAAACCTTAACAACGGTGCAAGGACTTTCCTCGGAATATGACTTGAAGAAAATCGTGAGAGCATGTAAAAAGGTGAGTTCAGTGTGCCATACTTCCCCCTCCTAACATTCAGGGGAGGATCCCCTTCCCCGATCCTTTCTCCTGCCTTCATCGCCGTCATTTCTGCTTTTCTCTGTCTCTCTTTGCTGTTCCCCCACCATCGGCCGATTAGGCAGAACTCTAAAAATAGGTCTGATGCAAACAATCACGATGATATAGGCTGGACAGATGTAGTTTTGCAAGTTCTTCTAGGAATGTGTGGCATGCGAGTGCATCTACAAGTGGTTTGACATATAGAGGGGATGGTCTTTGTTTCGATTTGAGATCATCAATGACTTGGTTCTTTTTTATAATCGCTTTATGTATTGACTGTTAATAATTGATATTTGATATTAAAAATATTTGTGTAATAGTATTGTTCTTAATTCAACATTATTTGTTGTTAAATAAAATAATAAGAAAAAAATATCTTTTATATATCTTTTATACAAAGATTATATTTTTACAATAACAGATATAACTTGAGAAAATAATTGCTTCATCTTATCATTGTGTCAACAGAAATCGAATTTGGATAAATTGTAGCAAAATTAATCAATGGGAAGAGACATGGTGTTTTTTAAATAAAATTTGTGTATTTTATTAGAAATGGTCATGTACATTTACAATAATATTTTGGATGCATTTATTTTATACTTTGTAAACATTATTTCGTTTTTGTTGTCTATCAAATATTAAACAAGAATATAGATGCTTACAAGTGCTATGAGCGTTAAAGCGTGAATGTATTCTTTGTCATGTCAACTTATTATGTTAATGTTGATTTTTTAATATAATAATTTAAAAAATTTATGTTACATTTTAATATTTACAATATTATTATTTCTTGTAAGTCCTTAGAACTTATAATTCGAAAAGCTGTGACTATTCGTATCTCATTTTGATAACGGTATCTGCAAAGTTTGGAGTACATTCCTTTAGGAGAGATAAAAGAACCCAACATTCTGTGGAATTGAATTTTCTAGATAAAAGTTCTTCCGAAGAATACCTACTTGATTTATCGTCTCTATTTTCACAGGAGTTTGCCTGCAATGGGACAGTAATAGAGCACCCGGAGTACGGGGAGGTGCTGCAGCTGCAGGGGGACCAACGAGAGAATATATGCCAGTGGCTAACAAAGTCGGGTCTGGCAAAACCTGACCAGCTCAAAGTCCATGGTTTTTAATCAATTAACAACAACAGCAACAATTACCATCCATGCCACAACCCACAACAACAGCAGACAGCTCCATCCCTCGTCAGCTCTACATGATCATCTCAAATTGAATCTGTATATCATTCACTAAACTTCTCGTGGGATATCCCGATTATACTATCACGTCATCATTATAAATACATATATATATGTATATACATACATATATGTATATATATACACAACACGCGCGCATATATATTTCAATAATAAAAAGAGGAAGTAAGAAAACGAAATAGAGAAGGAAATAAACAATAGAGGAATAAAAGGCGAATAAAAGAAAGAAGGAAGAGATATAGCGAAAGAAAGGGAAGATATATAGGCATATAACCAGCGTATACCTATAGGCAATATATCTATTCTAATCAGAATCTTTTCTTGAGATAAAAAGCAATACGTCACACTGTAAGCCTTATGTTAGGTGATAGCGGCTGTTGAGGTAGGGATTGCCCTGTCTTACAGCAGTGGATAGTACACATCTGATTTTGATAAACATCGTGGAAGAGAAGCGGGAGGAGAAGCATAGATGAACGAGCGATAATTAGCAGCGCCGGATGGATGTTCGTTCTTGCATTAGGTAGTATGTATCTGGGCGCGATAGACGTGTTTCGAGAAGGCAGTAAAATTGTAGGTTGATTGACTCGGGCTCTCTTCCTCTCCTCGCGTCCATCACATTCTCTGCGATCCTTCGTAGGAACGATATAAGATTTTTCTTTTTCTTCTATTTTTTAATGTTTTTTTTACGTTTGTAATTGAAAATTGAGAGAGAGAGAGAGAGAGAGAGCGCTTTCCGCTCTTGTGTCCTTTTGTGATGATTTGTTGAATATTTGTAGGGCCGATTTTGATTCTTCCTTTCGCGTAAAGGACACCCCTCCTTCGCCCCGTATCATATCTTCACTCTTGCTTTCCATCCCCTTTTAAGGCAGTAATTAAATGACGAATTGTTTTGAAATAATAATAATGAGAGTTAATAAAATGTGGCTGTTCTAGATAAATAAATAATGTGTACATGAATAAAATATAACATGACCATATCTTGTCCCTTTTCCTTTTCACTATTCCATCTCTATAAAAATCAACATTACTATTAAATTCAACTGTATGAAAGAATTAGACTTTAGGAATATATTAATTTTTTTGCTTATTCATTGTAACAGAAGTTATATGGATGTGTTCCTACTTTATTAATTTATATAACATTTTTTTTATAATGTTCGTATATCATGTGATAAAGTGAGAAAAACGGTAAAATAGAGAAAATAAAAAGAAATAAAAGTGGTGGAATTCATATATATATATAGAAATTGATATCTATCGCAATGTGATAGCGAGTGTACGAATTAAACACGATGTGGTTTATAAAAAAATTATTAGATAAGCTATCGTTTTTATCGATTACGTTTATACCATACTCGTTACAACTGCTATTTCGTAGAATCTGTTTCTTGGTATTAACAGGATAGACACGATAAATATATAAAGTGCTAGTGAGACAGATTACATACAAAAAGTATTTATGCCAGAAATGATAGCAAAGAGTTGAAATGATTGGAATGTGTCTGTTCATAAAAAAAAGAGTCTACTTCCGCTTTTGGTGAGAATAGATTGAATTAAAAGAAATTTTGTTTTAAATTAAAAAAAAAAAACATGGAGAAAGAATATAGAAAAATTCTTTTCTTGCTTCTTACAAACTCGACATGAGATTTCTTTTCAAGAAATAATGGAGACAATATTTTTCTCTACATTTCTCTACTTTTCTCTACACTCATTTTTCCTCGGTTCAAAGATTAGAATAGCGTTTCTATTTTCATTAGCGCTAAATTTACAGAGTAATCGTAAAAAAAAATAATATCGAACGGGAGGAGAACAAACAAAGAAGTGAACAAGATAGAATAAGTTAAATATTTTTAGTGTTTAAATATTTTTTCGGTTTTTTTTTGTTTCGAAAATTCGAACATTTTTTTCATTAAGCGTTATTGTCTCGATCAATTATTTTGTTTTGAAATTTCTCGAAGAAAATATGATAAGATAAACATCTTGACAGCTTTCCTTTCTTTTTTATTTAAAAATTAAATTAAATTTTCAAGTAGTTCGATAGATTTTCTTTTTTAAATTTTTCAAAAGAATATGACAAAACATCACAGATCTTTAGTACATATTTTTTATTTAATATTCGAAAATTTAAATATAAAATTTTTATCAAGTGCCATCGTCTTAATAGATTTTCTTTTTTAGTGTTCTCGAAGAAACGATAACAAGATAAACATTTTTAGTACTTTTTGTTTTTTTTTATTCCAAAATTTAAATATTAAACTTATGTCAAGCGCCACAATTTCGATCGATTTTCTCTTTTTTTTAGATATCTTGGAGAAAATATGACAGTAAAGATAAATATGTTTAGTGTTACTCTATTTTTTTAAATTTAATATCGAAAAAATTTTCACACTTCTATCATGGAGATAAAATTATATGATTGTTAATCTCTAAAAAAAATTAAATATGGATAAAAAAACAAACTTGAGAAAAAAACACTACTTTATGAAATAAAAGTATTAGTTCTTATACACATATGCACCAGTAATTGTTTGGCCAGTTGGAACAAACTCTTTGTGGATAATACCTTTGCTATCAAAGAATATGATGAGCATTGTCTTGATTTTTGATGGAACTTTTCGTACTTTTTTTGCTTGTGGTGAATTTTTTGACTTCCATTCCGCACTTTGACGCTTAGTTTCTGGATCATATTGAAAGCACCATGTTTCATCACCCGTAACAATTGATTTTAGGAAGTTTGGATTATTTGCTGCGGCTGCAACAATGTCTCTGGAATGATTGATTCTCATTGATTTTTGATCGCTTCTTAATGTGTGTGGAACAAACTTCGCACAAACCTTCGTTTTACCCAAATCTTCATGTAATATGGTTCGAATCGTTTCTCTACTGATATTTAAAGCCTCCTCCATCATTTTTAGTGACGCATTGCGATCGTTTGCAACAAAATTATGTACTTTTTCGATCATTTCGGGTGTTCGAACCAAAATTGGCCGTCCTGATTTTTTGTCATCTTCAAGGGTCTCTCTGCCTTCCAAAAAACGCTTATGCCACTCAAAAACAGTTGTACGACCTAGACATTGATTGCCGTAAATTTGTTGCATCAATCGGAATGTTTCTGATGCACTTTTACCAAGTTTTGCGTTAAATTTAATCACTGCTCTTTGTTCCATATTAAAATTTCTACCTCGACCAAAATCTTATTTAACATGAACTGTGATATCTTCGTTATATGTCAACCAAAATGAATGAAACTTTGACAGATGATAGGGAAATGTTAAACCTTTCAAATGTATGTTTGAACGCACAGATGTTGCCACTGGTTGCTGAGATGTGGTTCGTGTCCGAGAACATATTTGTCGCATTGTGTAAGTAAGAATGAAGAAATAAAAAACTATATCTAATAGGCTTAAAAGTATTAAATAAATAGATGAATTATAAGCAAATGTTCTCCTTCTATTAAAGTTACAAAATTGAAATTTTGCAATTATTATTTTAAGAAATACAAGAATTTTATTTTATATTATTACTTTCTCTTCACTTTTTATTGTAATTAATAATTTTATCTTTATTTCCTATTTAAAGCTTCTTTTGACTTAAATCAGGGAACTTTCCCAAAAATTGAAAAGAGTCAGGGAATTCTTTTTTCGCTAAGACAAAATTGAAAAATACAAAGAAACAAGAAATACAAATAGAAACAAAGAATAAAAAGCGCATGCACAAAGGACTAGGGAACAGAAAATAAGAATTCAACACCAATCAGAAACCATATACCGTGGACTATACAGATACTGATAGGTTGAAATTCTTTTACCCTGTTATTTATTTCTTTGTACATAGCCTCTAATGGATTTCAACCTATCAGAATCTGCATATTCTAATATAGACACAATTTTTAATAAATTGAATTTTGTTAGGTTATCCCTTGTGTTTTTCAATGTGTTTATATTTAACAACGTTGAAAATAGGACATTTGGAAGAAACACAAAGATTTGAAAATGGCGGGGTTGGGAGTTTTTGCGCCAATCGCGCCCGCTGGTGTCGGCGGCAGAGCCGCGCGGCGCACCACCGTCCACCGGGCCCCAGAATGCATCGCGCGCCACGGCATGTGCCTTTCCGCCATTTTGTAGTTTGCTCGAGAGACTGTGTTGAGTTCGATTCTTCCACCTCGGTAAGGAAACATCGTCGTACGTAACGGCCGCGCGTTGATCCGCTCGGTGCGGTGGGCCGTGATACGTACAGGGCGGATCGTCACGCGCGCGTCGCGCGCCGTCGCGAATTCGCGTGAGGAACGTGCCGAATCTCGCCGCCGCCTGTCTCGTTAGCCGTGTCGTGTTGCTGCGTCGCGTATTTCGTCGCGCACACGCGAGCGTTGGATAGCGTGCGTGCGTGCGTGCGTGCGAGCGTGCGAGCGAGCGAGCGAGCGAGTGATCGGTTCGAGCTCTCCGCTCCAGTCAGCCCATCGTCGATTATCAAGGCAACGCGAACGAAATTCGCGAAAACGCGCACACGAGGTACTCCGCGCGCACAACGAAAAGTGCCCTCCAAACCCAAAGTGCCTCGAGAGTGCTCTCTTTATAGCCGAGAAACCGATCTGCACGAGGCCGTTCGAGAGAGAGAGAGAGAGAGAGAGAGAGAGAAAGAGAGAGAGAGAGAGAGCGCGAGTGAGCGAGCGGACGGGCGAGTGAGCGAGCGAACGGGCAAGGCATCTCGTAGCGCTAGATTCAGGGCACATGGGATCATCCAGGCCCATCTCGAGATGAACGGTGATTTCGGTAACGACCATCCGTCTCATTCATCAAAAAAATCATATGAAAACCATTCAATCACCATCCGATTATCATTATCATCATCATTATCATCACCATTATCGTCATCTTCATCTTCATCTTCATCTTCATCTTCATCTTCATCATCTTCGTCATCATCTTCATCATCTTCACCATTATCATCAATGTCGTTGTCGTCGTCATCGTCGTTGCCGTCATTATCGTCATCGTCATTGTCAGTGTTAACACATGTTCGTTGAGTTCAGGAAGAGTGTTGTACAGTCTTGTCATCGTGCCGCTTCATCCACCTTCTCGCCACCGTCACCATCTCCTTATGTTGCTTGCTAAACTCGCGCCGTACGTCGACACGTCGTTATCGCTGCTGTCTTCGTCTTTCATCTTTTCATCCACGTTGACGTCGTCATCATCCTCATCATCCTCATCATCGTGTCCGTGTACATTGTCCTTGTGCTCATCCTTGTCGACGTCGTCATTGTCGTCATCATTGTCGTAGTGGTGGTCGTGGTCTTGGTCGTCGTGGTCGTGGTCGTGGTCGTCGTGGTCGTGGTCGTGGTCGTGGTCGGTCAGAGAGCAGCACGTCGTCGTCGTCGCCACTGTGACCGTATCGTGTCGACGATCGCGCGCTATATTTGGCCGATAACGCACCGTGCGCTCCGCAACATATTGCGCGTCCTTTCGCACGGGGATCCTCGCCTGGCACGCCGCGAGTTCCTCCGGACGGCCGTTGTCGTGGCACATAGTCCGACGCCGAAGGCTCGTTCTGGCGCGTGCGAGCATTGCCGCCCGAAGAGCGCATCTTGGTGTCAACCACGTCGTCGACTTTGGTCACGCGCGCGCGTGAAAAAAATTCTTCCTTATGTCTTTCGGTTTTCCCCCGGCGGCTTCCAGATTGTACTTGGTAAAAAGTTGTACGCGTGACATTGTTCGTAGCTGTTTTGTACTCCGTATTTGTGGGCTTGCAGCTACGGTAATCCATCATATAGTGCTGCGTATCGAGGCATGATTCGAGTCGAATGATCCTCCTGATAGTTGCTCCGTTAATGTTGTCGCTGTCATGATAGTTTACAAGGATAAGGGTTGTCAGTGTTGTGTAAAGCATCTTTGGTCTTTGACCAAATAATTATTACATGATATATATGTGTGTGTGTGTGTGTGTGT